TTCTGAAGCAGTCTATGTCCATATGTAGCAAGACCTGGCCAACATCCAGGTTTGGACTTAAGTGGAAAGTGCCATTCATGCTAGCCAAGTGCCCGGAAATGACCATCTCCAAGATCAGTCCAGCCAGCTTCCCTTGACACTCAATTGCATGACGATCACTGAAACCCCCAATGTCAACATCGTAGGGGTTACCTTCAGTAAGGCGTTGGACAAGGTTTCTCATGGTAGCCTGGTTAGTAAGGTTAGATCTCACAGAAAACAGCGAGAACTAGCTATTTGGATACAGAACTACCTCAAAGATAGAAGACAGAAGGTGGTGATGGAGGGTTGCTTTTCAGACTGGAGACCTGTGACATTGCTGTACTTAGGATATTCCTGGGAATATATTCAAGGAAGTTATTTGGGTGAAATTGAGAAATAAGAAAGAGATGATCGCTTTATGGAGATGTACTGTAGACCTCCCAATAGTCAGTGGGAAATTGAGAAACAAATTTGTAAAGGGATCTGTTATCTGTAAGAATAATATGTGGTTATGGTAGGGGATTTTAACTCTCCAAACATAGACTGGGACTGCCAGGGTGTTAAGGGCTTGGATGAAGAATTTGTGTGTACAAGAAAATTTTCTGATTCAGTATTTGGATGTACCGATGAGGGAAGGTGCAAAACTTGACCTGCTGTTGGGAAATAGGGTAGGGCAGGTGATTGAGGTGTCAGTGGGGGAGCTCTTTGGGGCCAGTGACTATAATTCTATTACTTTTAAAATAGTGATGGAGAAGAATAGACTGGATCTAAAAGGTAAAATTCTAAATTGGAAGAAGGCTGATTTTGAAGGTATTAGGCATGAACTTTCAAACGTTGATTGGGGTTGGGGTTCGCAGGTAAAGGGACGGCTGGAAAATGGGAAGTCTTCAAAAATGAGACGATGAGAGTCCAGAGACAGTGTTCCTGTAAGGGTGAAGGGCAAGACTAATTGGTGTAGGGAATACTGCACGAGTAATTGAGGTTTTGTTCAAGAAAAAGAAGAAAACATATGTCGGGTATAGATAGCAGAGATTGAGTGAATCCCCAGAAGAGGACAAAGGCAGTAGAAGTAAACTTGGGGAAATCAGGAGGGCAAAAAGGGGACATGAGATAGCTCTGGCAAGTTGTGTTAAGGAGACTCCAAGGGGATTCCACAAATACATCAAGGACAAAAGAGTAACTCTGGAGAGAATAGGTCCCTTCAAGATCAGCAAGGCTGCTGGTCTGTGGAACCGCAGAAAATGGGGGAGATACTAAATGAGTATTTTGCATCCGTGTTTACTGTGGAGAAGGATATGGAAGATACAGAACATGGGGAAAATAAATTGCGATATCTTGAAAAATGTCCATATTACAGAGGAGCTGGTGCTGGACGTCTTAAAACGCATAAAGGTGGATAAATCCCCAGGACCTGACCAGGTGTACCCTAGAACTCTGTGGGCAGCTAGGGAAGTGATTGCTGGGTCCCTTGCTGAGTTATTTGTATCATTACTAGCCACAGGTGAGGCTGGCTAACGTGCCACTATTTTAAAAAGGTGGTAAGGAAAAGCCAGGGAACTACAGACCGGTGAGCCTGACATCAGTGTTGGGCAGGTTGTTGGAGGGAATTCTGAGGAGCAGGATTTGCCTTTTTTTGGAAAAGCAAGGACTGATTAGGGATAGTCAACATGGCTTCGTGCGTGGGAAATTGTCTTACTAACTTGAGTTTTTTTTAAGAAGTAACGAAGAGGATTGATGATGGCATGCATAGGGTGCCAATCAGGTGGGCTGATTTGTCCTGGATGGCATCAAACATGGATTATTATTAGACAGCTCCATACATCCAGGTAAGCGGACAGCATTTATTTCATCACATGCCTGTTGTGCCTAATAAGTGGTGGACAGGCATTAGGGAATCAGAAGGTTAGTTACCCTCTGCAATTGCCCAGCCTCTGGCCAGTTCCTGCTGCCACTGTATTTTTATGGCTAGTCCAGTTCAGTTTCTGGTTGAAGGTAATTGGTGCGCCACAGGGATCAGTGCTGGCTCCACTGTATGTTTTTTGTCATTTATGTAAATGATTTGGATGTGAATGTAGGAAGTATTGTTAGTAAATTTGTAGATGACACCAAAATTGGATGTGTAGTGGACAGCAAAGAAGGTTACCTCAGAGTACAAGGGGACCTTGATCAGATTGGCCAGTGGGCAGATGAGTGGCAGATGGAGTTTTATCTAGATAAATGTGAGGTGCTGCATTTTGGAAAGGCAAATCAGAGCAGGATTTATACACTTAATGGTAAGGTCCTGGTGTGTGTTGCTGAGCAAAGAGACCTTGGAGTGCAGGTTCATAGTTCCTTGAAAGTGGAAGTTGCAGGTGGACAGGATAGTGAAGAAGGCATTTTGGTATGCTTGCCTTTATTGGTCGGTGCACTGAGTAAAGAAGTTGGGAGGTCATGTTGTGGACATTAGTTAGGCCACTTTTGGAATACAGGTTGCAATTCTGGCCTCCCTGCTATAGAAAGGATGTTGTGAAACTCAAAGGGTTCAGAAAAGATTTGCAAGGATGTTGCTAGGGTTAGTGGGTTTGAGGTAAAGGGAGAGGCTGAATAAGATAGGGCTGTTTTCCCTGGAGCGTTGGAGGCTGAGGGATGACCTTGTAGAAGTTTATAAAAGCATGAAGGGCATGGATAGGGTGAATAGACAAGGTTTTTCCCCGGGGTGTGGGAGTCCAAAACTAGAGGGCATGCGTTTAAGGTGCGAGCTGCCAGAGGATGCAGCAGTGGTACAATGGACAACATTTAAAAGGCATCTGGATGGGCATATAAATAGCGAGGATTTAGAGGGATATGGGCCAAATGCTGGCAAATGGAACTAGATTTATTTAGGATATCTGGTCAGCAAAGACAAGTTGGACGGAAGGGTCTGTTTCCATGCTGTGCATCTCTGTGACTCTAAGTCTGCCATCCCTGGAGCACCAAACATCACAAATGACATGTCTGTGATTATCTCTATGGTATCTTATTTTTCAATGAACTTTACATACTTTATAATGCAAACAAAGCATACTTCAATATCTCCCTTTGATGTCAAGGGGTCTGCTCTTGTTTTGTTCCACTGTATTAATCCAGTCTTAACCGAAATTCATCCCCATTGCTGTCATCCCTTCCACTCTGTTGTTGTTTCTGGAGTTCCCAATGGATCAATCTTTAGCCCAATTTTGTCATCTACATGCAAGATGGGATCAGCTAAAACGCACGTTGACAATGTTCATTTCTGCCACTCCATTATTTTTCTTAAATTATCCCACAATGGAATAATTATCTAACATCAGACATTGGATGAGCAGCAGTTATCTCTAGCTAAGCATTGGCAAGACCCAAACTTCTATCTTTGCTACTGATTCCATTCACATCTTAGGCTGAACGAGACCATTTTTATTCGCTGCACTTTACCCAACTGCAAATCGTCACAAGAAAAAGTAATTCTAAGTCACTAATATCTAATTCTAGCTCCTCGCTGCTGCAACCTATTTACTGCTGTACCCCTTCTGTCATTTCTTTTTCGCTACCAAACTCAGCTACTCCAATATAGTACTGGCCAGTCTGTCTTCCATCTGCCATAATTTTAACACTCTAATCCAAAACTCAGATGTCTTATCCCATACAAGTTCAACTTGTCTATCCCCCACTTCCATTTTTGTTAACCTACACCAGTCTCTCAACATCTTAAGATCTCTAATCTTCAGATTCAATTCCTTCATCGCCTTGTATATGACATATTTCCTTCTCCAATCCTCCCAGCTTCTAAGTCTTCTATTTCTTGAACTGTGCCATGTTCAGCTACTTCCACTGCCACTGTTAGTGGTGTTGCCTTGAAACACCTGGAACTGTAGAATTCTCCATGCTGTCCTCTGCATTCCTATTGCCTCATTCTTTTTTCTCCCCCCTATAAGACCCATGTTAAAACGTACAACTTTGGTCGGCATTTTTGCCCTTCTCCCAAATTTATTTGGCTTAATATCCAGTATCCACCAATTCTAAGACACCTTTATAGGAAATTTTTACTGCAAAGGCACAATGTAAATAAAAATTATGCATGAAGTGCCTTGTACATTGAAACATTACTGTTGCATTTCTACAACACAGCAATACTTTTGATGGCTGAGATTGGGATTCCTCCCTCCTCAATTTGATACAATTCCTGTGGTTTTGGATGGTTGTCTACCTCCTCAGTAGAAATGCAAGGGTTTCTTGTTGTTTAATGGTAGTGTCCCTGTCTCCAGGGCAGAATTGTTTCGGTTCAGGTTCCACCTGCCCTAGAGGTATCATGACATCTCCAAAATAAGTGAAAATAATTTAATAGCAGTGCTCACAATATTCCTTGCAACCACCACCTTAGACTGGGATCATTATTCACTTGGGTTTGAAAGAAACTGAGTGAGTTATTGAGCAGATCCTGGGTCTTCATACAGTGTTTGAGCATAGGCAAGGGAGTTTTTGAATGAAGCAATAATCCATGATGATGATGTCCAATGTTTGAGGGATTCCATCAGACTTGAGAATTGCAAAAACTCTACAGAAATAAGTCATGTTTTCCTAACACTCATCTTTTTGAAAAGAAGTGGAATCTTAACTTGAACAAAGTTTAATTTCTCCACCAGAAAACTAAATTATAAGGAGTATTCAATTTATTGGTAAATAAAATTAATCTTCAAGTATTAATTTGGCATTTCGCACCACTGGATTTGGTTTTACAACAGGATGGTTTATGAAGAGCTCCAAGTATTGAACCTCCCTTCTCTGCTTTCCATTTGGCATTCTAACATGTATCGTTACTAATAGCCAAATGGCTAGTTTATCCTAATGCTTCTAACCTTTCCTGAGTGCTTCCTTTGATGGGATTCTTACTATCCGGACACTGTGAATAAGGTGTGTGCTGGAACTGCAAATAATATCCATACAGATAAGAGCCTTTCACTAATCATATTTTCTCTCTCTTCCAGAAAGAATCCAACCAGCCTGCTGAATGCAAGCAGCAATAGAAGCGTGGTACCAAGAAAACACCACTGCCTAGAGACTGATGCCATATGATAAAGTGTATCTAAAATACTCTTGTGCAGTTGAGGTGATTCCCCCACCCCTCCCCTACTGCAGCACAATCTTATTAAGCTAAACACTATGTTTTAAAATGCATGGGTTGCTCTTTAACTTCAGATTTTCTTTTTCCTACTTTTGGCTTACTTTTACAGTGGAAAAATTACAAAAATCTCTACTTCAAAATACAAGAGAGTTTAAGACTGTAAGATAAAGCAAGCATGCACTCTGCAGCCTAAACACTGGTATTTTGAAATGTAGTGAGTGTTACACGCTTGTCACTTGCAAATAGGGGCAGCATTGCTCAGTGAGTCAGTAGTGATGTTCATGGACTTCTGAGGTGCATCTTTCCTGTGCTGCCCAATGTTTGTGAGCAGCCACTTAGTTTATAGTTAAGCATTTCCTTTGCCATGAAGAATTTATATTTAAATGCATTTCAGAAGCTTAATTTTTGACCCAATGTGACTGCACTGTGGTCATCATTGCTGTTTTACTCCAATATAGTAATGGTTAACAGAAATATGTGTACCGAGAGGCTGCTCTGAAATGTTGTGGCCACAAACTTATTTATTACCGTTACACACAACTTACTAACCAGCACGTCGGAAAAAAAAAACTTATTACCTGGGCACATTATTTCCAGTTGCAGCCACTTCATCTCCAGAAAAGATGCACATTAAGATGCTGTGAGAGTCATTGCCAGTTTCCTGTGGAAGTAAAATCTTTAACACAGATCTATTTTTTTTTTTATTTTTATTAATTGAGTGTCCAGCACACACAGCACTGTGTCCAGGCATAGAGTGCTCCAGCCTTACCTTGTTCTACACAGTTGTAATGTACCTTAATATGCTGTTTTCAATTTGTACAGAATAGCCAGAGTATTCTAATAAAGTTGTGCAACATTAAGTGTTTCTGTTTTGGACAATAATTTGTTACCTGTCACCAGGTTGAATTTACAAAGGTAATGTTCAGGTTAATGTTTGAATTACAGCTTTTTGGACAGCTTTTTGTTTGTAGATTACCTCAATGTACTTCATTTTTAAAATGCAACATTGTTGATTATAAAAATGCAAGATTATTCTTAGACACTCTTTGGGTTTGGTCAGATTGTGAGGGAACCAAAATGAGGTAGCCACCTATTTCACCACATTCCCCCTATTGCAGAATTTCTGTCAAAGAATTTGACCTGGCCACCAAATGGTATTTTGTATGATAATGTTTTATCTCTAAAGCAAGAACATCTTGCATTTTGTGATTTCGTATGACCAGTTGGTGCAGGCTTGGAGGGCCGAAGGGCCTGTGCCTGAACTGTAATTTACTTTGTTCACCTGCTAAGAAATGCACAGCTGACTGGTTTTCACGCGAACATTTTGTCTCCCTTCTGGGTGACATTGTCAGTGCTGTCTAGCCTCCATTGAAGTGGTGTTGTTCTGTCCTGCTCTGAATTAATATGGTCTGGGCTGTCATGGTGGGCAGTCTTGTTTCTGGTTTTGTACTGTAGTGGTATGTAGCTGGGGTCTATTTCAACATGTTGTTTATCACATTGGTTGTTGAAAACCAGGAATTCTTCTGCATGTCTGTCTTGCTTGTCCAAGTACTGTGACTTTGTCCCAGTTAAACTGATGTCCTTCTCTGTTGGAATGTATTGAAACAAAAGTGATATACAAAATACCAGGCAGCAATTGCGAGAAACACTACATAGGACAGGCAGGCAGGAGACTTGCCATCAGGATACATGAACACCAACTCGCAGCAAAGCGACATGACCAGCCTTCTCTCATTTCAATACACTCCAATAATCCACGTAACCTGCACATCTTTGGACTGTGGGAGGAAACCCACACAGACTTGGGGAGAATCAAACCGGGGTGCCTGGTGCTGTGAGTGCCACTGTGCTTCACTGATTGCAGCAATATCGTGTTCCCATGTGCTGATCAATGCCCTAAGTTCATCCACTTTACCAGTCAGGCTTCTTGCATTAAAATACAATTCAATTCTCCTTGCAATAAAACATAACATTCTGTTAAATACTAAATAAAAACCAAAAGAACTGCGGATGCTGTAAATCAGGAACAAAAACAAAGTTGCTGGAAAAATTCAGCAGCTAACATCCTGTTAGCTTTCCTGATTTACTTGCTGTACCTACATACTAACTTTCTGTGATCCATGCACTAAGATATCAGATATCTCTACATCTCAACACTGCAAATTCTCACCATGCTTTTGTTTCATTCTTTCTGCCAAATTAAAGTCTTCACGCTTTCCCACATTATACACCATTTGCCAGATCTTTGCCCGTTCAACCTGTATTTATCCCTTTGTAGGTTCCTTATGTCTTCTTAGCTCACTTTCCTACCAATCTTTGAGTCATCAGTAAATTTAGTTACCATATCTTCGGTCCCTGCATCCAAATCATTTATTTAAGTTGTAGAGTTGAGGCCCCAACATTGACCCTTGTGGAACACCACTCATGACATCCTGCCAGCCATTTACTCCTACTCTCTGCTTCCTGTCAGCCAGCCCATCATCTATCTGTGCCAATATGTTACATTCAACATAAGGTTTTTAATTCCTGCAATAACCTTTTATGGTACCACATTATCAAATATCTTCTGGAAATCCAAAGACAGTACATCCCCTTTATCTACAGCACAAGTTGGTTCTTCAAAGAACTCCAATAAATTAGTTAAAGATGATTTCCCATTGGTAACACTGTTTGACACTGTCTGATTACTTTGAAATTATCCAGCTGCACTGTTATGACAGTTTTAATAGCAGCTTCTAAAATTTTCCTGATGACATACAAGACCACAAGTTAGAGGAGCAGAATTAGGCCATTTGGCCCATCAGGTCTGCTCCATCATTCATTGTAGCTGATATATTTCTCAAACCCATTCTCCTGCCTTTTCCCTGTAACCCTTGAACTCCTTACTAATCAAGAACCTATCCCTGACTTAAAGACACTCAAAGACTTGGTATCCACAGTCTTTTGTAGCAATGAGTTCCACAGATTCACCACCCTCTGGCTGAAGAAATTCCTCCAGTTCTAAAGGGTCGTCCCTTCAGTCTGAGACTGTGCCCCTGGGTCCTTCCTACTAGTGGAAATATCTTTTCCACGTCCAGTCTATCCAGGCCTTAGTATTCCGCAAGTTTCAATGAGATACCCCTCACTGAGTACAGACCACGTGTTCTCAATTGCCCTTCATAGTGACAAGACCTTCCTTCCTGTGATCATTCTTGTGAACTTTGCTGTCAAAAATTATGTAAACTAAGTGTGAGCTTGGGATGCTAAGAGGTTTAATTGCCCAGGAGTTAGGGTGTCCATGCATAACGTTGCTGGCTAAGTAATTAATTGCTTACAGCAGGTTGTGATAGGTGGGAGATATTAGGTTTGGCAGGGGAAATGGGAGTCATTGGATGCTGTATCATGAGCAAGGAAGACAGCTGAAATCCATGGTGGGGAAGGGTGTGAATTGGATTCTGACTACAGAAGGCGGGTGTTAGGTTTGGAGGTGGAGATTGTCAGGATCTAGGTTGGGGAGTGTGCTAGTTTAGGCTCTTGGAGTTGTAAGGGATCTTGGGGGGTGTGGGGGGAGGTGTTTATGGAGGAGCTGTGTGGTGTTTTGGGGGAGGGGGATCAGTTGAATAGTTACTCAGGAGTTAGACCAGGTATTTAATAGTCTGACTTCTAAGTAACTATTCACTCCAGCAGAACCCTCCAGTTCTCTGATTTTAAATGCCTACTTTCACAGGGTTCCAAGTGTAGGAGAATTGTCCGACTGAATCTTCAATTTCCCAACAATTCGTCTGAGTCTGTCACAACGGGGATTCTACAAGGTCCCCATGTGTAACTCCCATCTACACTTCAGAAACGACTGTCTGACCATCAGAAAATGCAAACCAGTTGTGTTCAGACAGAACACAGCTGTGAATATGGCTTGCTTAAGTAACTATGGAAAGTCTTTCAGGGAAATATCCAAGTCCACAGTTGTTAATATTACAACTGATTACATAATTGATGAGTTACTTCACCGAATTAAAGCACAGTCACATTTGGTTTTTAATCGATGTAACTTTAAATGTCAAAATAAGAACCGGTGTAATGCAGCTCCTCTTAAAAGCAAAGGGGAAATAACATGCTAAAACATAAATTTAGAAAAATTCAGGATTGCAGATAGGTCTACATTGGTCACCATTGACCTGAATGGGCCATAGCAGAAGCTACATTGACTCTACAAATGGCTCATATATTGACCCTTCAAAGCTTCTCTACGTTTCATGAGATTCAAGAATTAAGAATTCAAGAATAATTTGTATGTATGTTCCCCATGCACATTAGTGTTTTAATAAACTCACTGGTGTTAATGGAATGAGAAGGTTGACTCAGCTGACAGTTTAAGGTGTGCTAGTTTCCATATTACAGGCAGTGACAAGATGGATTGCAGGGTTGGGCTGGAAGGAAGAGTATTGACTCTAACAACTTGACGTGGTTGTTGCCCTGAATCCATAGTACATCAATGTATATACTTGTTTAATTACACAGCAACGGAAACGGTCCAAAGAACTCTGATACCTAGGAATTATGAATAAGCATTCCTGCTTCGATCATGTGTTCATGAATATGGAAAAATGGTGAAGGAGCCCACACATCATCTAATGCAAATGAATGTGTAAATGTTTTGCATAATATTTAACTGCAATGATCCTTTTGTGTTTCTTGAACTTTCTGAAACAAGAATGCTAAACAATAGACTAAAAAGATGTTCTGAAAACCATGCGTTGGAGATCACTGCGGTTGAGGCAGCATCCATGGAGAGAGCAAGCTAACATTTTGAATCTGGATGACTTTTCGGAGCTGGTGAAGTGTGGAGGGGGCAGTTGTTATAGTTGGGCGGGCGGGGGGGGAGGGTGGTGGTGGGGGAAGCGGGGTGCGTTGATAGCTCAGATTAAGTGATCAGAATGTGAGAATGGCAGAACAATGATGTGTCTAACTGCCAGACTGGAAAGAACAGTCCCACTGGGGGTAAGGGGAGAAGAGAGGGCTTGGTGACAGACAATGTAAAGTAAAGCTAAAAAGGAAGGAAATTGAGTTGGTTCCCTTCCCATGTAACTGCAAAAGGTGCAACACCTGCCTGTTCACCTCCCTGATCTGACATTCCTCGTCCACTTTCCTGCCCTATTCCTGTAACTGTTGATTCCCTTGATCAAGAATCTATCTATCTCAGCCTTAAATATACACAAGGACTCTGCCTGTGCAGCGTTCCATGGCAAGGAGTTCCAAAGACACTCGATCCTTTCAGAAGAAATTCCTCCTCATCTCAGTCTTAAGTTGGCACCCCCTTATTCTGATACTATGCCTTCTGGTCAGAGACTCTCCCATGAGAAGAAACATCTTTTCGGCACTAACCCTGTCAAAGCCCTTAAGAACCTTATACCTGTCAATGAAATCACCCCTCACTCTCAAAAACTCAGTAAAATCTCACCCTGTTTAGCCTTTGCTCATAAAACAATCCCTCCATCCCAGAGATCATCCAAATGAACTGCCTCCAATGAAATGGTACCTTTCCTTTTAACGGAGGACCAAAACTGCTCTCAGTACTCCAGGTGTAGTCTCACCAGCACCTTGTATAGTTGCAGTAAGATTTCCCACTCTGATATTGCAACCCCCTTGAAATAAAGGTCAACATTGTGTTAGCCTTCCTGATTACTTGTTGCATGTGATAGTTTTCTGTGTTTCATGAACAAGTTCCCCCAAGTCCCTTTGTGCTACAACTTTCAGCAGTTTTTCTCCATTTAAATAATACTCTATTCTTCGTTCTCCCTTCGCATTTTTCCCACATTACATCCCATTTGCCAACTTTTTGCCCACTTTCTTAACCTATCTCTCTGCAAACTGTTTGTATCCC